ATTTTTGGCCTACCAAAGGAGCATGTGTTTTCATACTTTCAAGGCTCGGTTCAGGCACTGAAAATCGATTGGATTTCAGTGGCTAGAAGGCCAAACCAAGCATGCAACAAGAGCTTAGGTGTAAGGCACAAAATAAGGGACAATCAAGCATACAAGTAAGCATATGACCTCAAACAAGAAAATTCCCTGAATGAAACATGAAGATGATGTAAAAATGAGACTTTTTCATAACAGATCTCAAAAGTGAACACAAATAGGGCTAATCTATCATGCAAAAATGGCCCTAAAAGAGAGAATAGAGACAAGGGATAGCAGCTGGCCCCAAATGGAAAAGAACCCTTCAACAAAGTTGAAGAGGGGCACAAAACAAGGCACTTTACAGTTTGGCTCGAAGCCCAAAAATGCTTAAAAATAGGGCTAACATATCATGCAAGAAATAGCCATAAAAGAGGAATAAAGAGGCAAGTGGTAGAAGCTAACCTCAAACAGAGGAGAGCCCTTCAACAAAGTTGAAGAGGGACTCAAAACAAGACATTTCACAGTTTATGACCAAGTCCAAAACAGCTCACAAATAGACCTAAAATATCATGCAAAAATAGGCTTAAAAGAGAGATTAAACACAAAGGGTAAAGAGAAGACCTCAAACAAGAAGAGGTCCTTGATCAAATATGAAAAGGAGCTCAAAATATGACTATTTACAGTTCAGGTCGGAGTCCAAAAATGTAAGCAACAAAGGCTAAGATATAGAACAAAATAAGGCAAGAAAGAGGGAGAAGAGGACTCACCCTTGTAGCACAAGTCTTCAGCAGCTTTTGGACCAAGGAAAGGTGCTCCTAACCTCTGAAAAACAGCCTCAAGTTGCTGGAATGGAGTGTGGAGGTTGTAGGCTTGGAGGTAGTGTGTAAATGGCCAAGGATAATGGACTTTAGAGCTTGGAAGGGAGAGCTATGGAGGAAGATGGTTGTGTGCCTTAGCAAAAATCTTTAACCCTTAGAAATGAAGCTCAAGTGTTGGTTTTATAGAGGGAGAGAGGCCAAGGGAAAAGGGGGGAAAATCAAATTCAAGTTTCCCCCCCAAAAGGCAACCCCTCGGATACAGGATCTGGGGGGAAACAGCTGGCACAGCTGGAATACACTTGGAGAGAGGATCATGGCCGGCCAGGTTCAGAAGGTTCAGGTGGCCGGCCGGCCACCCCCCATGGCCAGCCGGCCAGGGGTCAAAAGGGTCAATGCAAATTACTGGCCGGCCACCCAAAAAAGGTGGCCTCCCATGTGTGCACAACACAAATATGTGGTCAAAACCCAAAAAAAGTGAACCAGGAGAGAGAAAGCCAACTTTTTAGAGGGGTTCAAAAGGGTCAAGGACAATTACTGGCTGGCCTATACATATTGGTGGCTCCCAGGTGTGTACAACACAAATATGGGGTTTAAGGCTAAAGCGGGGTGGTCGACATTAGCTTTTTAGTGAGGAAAACAGGCGACGGAGAGCGATGAAGAAATAAAGCTGGCTTTTTAGAACAATTACTGGCCTCCCACCCTCCGACAAGCTTCCTAACAATGAAAATGAGGTCTCCACCAAAAACGAACCAAAACGGATGCAAAACGGAGGTTCGGGGACCGAAACGCGCGGCCCGGGGCCCCGAAAATGGGATGTTGAGCACCAGAGGTGGCATTCGACCACGAAGTTGGTCTCTCGGGCCACAGTGTCTCCCAAAAGGGAGTAAATAAGATGTGTGCCAAAAATCGGAGCAAACGGAGGTGGTTAGGCAGTCCCGAACCGAGGCACACGGCCGTCGGCTCCGAAAAATCGGAAACCGGGTCCAAATGGGAAAAATGGCCTACGACCACGGAATGTAGCCTACGGCCACTGAGAGATGATCCAATATAATGCTTGTAATTTAATAAGATTACATTTGAATGATAGAAATTAGAAACTAAGAAGAATTATATTATCAGAAGTCTTATTATTAGTAAAAATATTTATATGTCAATGTAATTTAAACATTTGGTTTGAATGTGAGATTTTCGTGCAGGAATGGGGAAATAGAATTCCAATTAATCAGGGGATCTCATTCTACTTTGAAAATTGAATTGGAAGTTACATTTCTATTTTAGACACACCCAAACAATGTAAAGAAAGAGACTTGAAATGATATTTTCATTCCACTTCTCTATTTTGGTAATCTAAACATGACCTAAGAGCAATGATATTTTCTTATAATTTTTTAATTTTCCTAAATGCTTGGGTTCTCCATCCCACTTTCATGAACAAGGTAAGAGACGTTTGGGAAAGCACACATGTGGTTGGATGGGCGGGATTCAGATTGAAGTCCAAACTGAAAGCTTTGAAAGAAGCACTAAAAGTGTGGAATAAGGAAGTTTTTGGGATTGTTGAGTTTAAAATCAAAGAAGCAAAGGAGGAATTGCAGGCTTTAGAAATAATTTCAGAGGAGAGATCATTGCATGAGGAAGAGCTAGTAAGAAGAAGAGAGGTTAAAGGGGAGTTGTGGAAGCTAAGGAAAGTGAAGGAATGGATCCGGGTATAGAAATCTAAAGCAGATTGGGCGTTAAAAGGAGATAGGAATACTATATTCTTCCACATCCTGGCTACAAAGCGTCAGAGTAGAAACTTGATGGACTCCATTACAATAAAGGGCAACACTTTCAATAACCCTGCAGAGATGAAGAAAGAAATTGCAAGTTATTTTGGTGAAGTTTTTGCAGAACATTGGAAGGATAGACCCAAGATTGGAAGAATGTATAGGTCCATTGAACTAGCTCAAGCTGAGATGTTGGAGAAGGAGTTTTTTGAATCAGAAATATGGGCATCAATCAAGGAGTGTGATGGGAATAAAGCACCTGGCCTTGACGGATTTAATTTGATTAGCATGCAAAAGGGGTGGAAGATTATGAAAGTTGATATTCTCAAATTCATGGCTAAGTTCCATGAGAATGGTAAGTTGGTTAAGGGTTTGAATTGTTCTTTTGTAACACTAATTCCTAAGAAGCATAGTGTAGACGTCCCCGAACGCCCCGGGAGGGATGAGTCCCGTTCTGTTCATTTGGGGTTCACTACAGTTCGGACTCTCAAATTGTCACGGTTCTAAATCTGAACCAAAGAGTTCAAATCCAGCAAATCGTTTTGAGAAAACAAATTTTGAAAGAAGTGCCAAACATGGACTGCTTTGCCAGATACAGAGTCGCCACCTAAATATTTTATTTTGG